TCTATTTATATGTATACATCTTACACAACACAACTAGGACAACATGTTTTGTCCAACGTGCTTTGCAAAAGTAAAGCGCGTAACCTTCATTTTCCTCTCTGAAAGAAGAATATACTCACCCCCCCCCCCCAGGAGTTAGCGGCCACCGTTTCGTATGGCAATTTACGTATGATTCTGCACACCCGTCCATCCTACCTCTGAATTCATACTATCCCAGCCAAAGCGGCATCGCCCCCCCCCGTCATCCTCTGCAACACAAATATGCGCGCACACTCATTTACCATCACAAGCTTCCAAAAAAATCCTTTTGCAACAAAATGGGACCAAGTGCACACGCGCGCGTCTTCGCGCGCGCATGCCGAAATTCTTCAAAACCCGTTGATTTCGGACGGGTGTAAACTCGAGCTCCTAAAACAAAGCTACAAACACAGGGTTTCGCAATACGGGCATGCTAAAAAACTTACGCGCGCGCTCTGACGAAATCTCAAGAAAAGCATCGGTGTTTGAAGATGTTCAGAACATGCTACCACACGGGCTTTGCGTGCGCGCATGTCGGAATCTTTCGGACGCGCTTGCGCGCGTGCCGTCGCAAAAATCCCCCGCAAAAAAACGGGACGAAATGCGCACGCGCGCGTCGTCGCGCGCGCATGCCGAAATCCATCAAAAACCATGAGTTTCTAAAAAATCTCAAAATCGAGCATCCAAACCAAAGCATACAAAAACACAGGGTTCCGCAACACGGATGTTCAACAAAAGCGTGCGCGCGCGCTCTTGCGTCGTCGCCGTCGTCGCCGTCCTCCCTCCTCCCTCGTCGTCGTCGTCGTCGCCGTCGTCGTCCTCTGTCGTTCCTCGTCGTCGTCGTCGTCGTCTTGGCGTCGTCGTCGTTTCCGTCGTCGTTGTCGCCGTGGTCGTCCCTCCTCTCCCGTCGTCTTCGTCGCCGTTTCGCCGTTGTCCCTCCTATTTCGTCGCCGTCGTCGTCATCGTCGTCGTCGTCGTCTTCCCTCCTCCCTCGTCGTTGTCGTCGTTGTCGTCGTTGTCGCCGCCGTCGTCCTTCCTCCTCCCACGTCGTCGCCTTTGTTGGCGTCGTCTTCGTCGTCGTCGGCGTCGGCGTCGTTGTCGCCACCGAAGTCGTCGGAGACGTCGTCGGTGTCGTCGTCGTCGTTGTCGTTTTTAGTCGGTCGTAGGATGTTTTGCAAACCGAGTTGCGGGTGGGAGGGTGGGATGTTTGCGCGAGCAGTGGAGAGGACAGCGTCAAGTTGAGCAAGTGATTGATTGCACCACGTAGATTGCACAATCTATTTATATGTATACATCTTACACAACACAACTAGGACAACATGTTTTGTCCAACGTGCTTTGCAAAAGTAAAGCGCGTAACCTTCATTTTCCTCTCTGAAAGAAGAATATACTCTACCCCCCCCCCCCGGAGTTAGCGGCCACCGTTTCGTATGGCAATTTACGTATGATTCTGCACACCCGTCCATCCTACCTCTGAATTCATACGATCCCAGCCAAAGCGGCATCGCCCCCCCCCCGTCATCCTCTGCAACACAAATATGCGCGCACACTCATTTACCATCACAAGCTTCCAAAAAATCCTTTGCAACAAAATGGGACCAAGTGCACACGCGCGCGTCTTCGCGCGCGCATGCCGAAATTCTTCAAAACCCGTTGATTTCGGACGGGTGTAAACTCGAGCTCCTAAAACAAAGCTACAAACACAGGGTTTCGCAATACGGGCATGCTAAAAAACTTACGCGCGCGCTCTGACGAAATCTCAAGAAAAGCATCGGTGTTTGAAGATGTTCAGAACATGCTACCACACGGGCTTTGCGTGCGCGCATGTCGGAATCTTTCGGACGCGCTTGCGCGCGTGCCGTCGCAAAAATCCCCCGCAAAAAAACGGGACGAAATGCGCACGCGCGCGTCGTCGCGCGCGCATGCCGAAATCCATCAAAAACCATGAGTTTCTAAAAAATCTCAAAATCGAGCATCCAAACCAAAACATACAAAAACACAGGGTTCCGTAACACGGATGTTCAACAAAAGCGTGCGCGCGCGCTCTTGCGTCGTCGCCGTCGTCGCCGTCCTCCCTCCTCCCTCGTCGTCGTCGTCGTCGCCGTCGTCGTCCTCTGTCGTTCCTCGTCGTCGTCGTCGTCGTCTTGGCGTCGTCGTCGTTTCCGTCGTCGTTGTCGCCGTGGTCGTCCCTCCTCTCCCGTCGTCTTCGTCGGCGTTTCGCCGTTGTCCCTCCTATTTCGTCGCCGTCGTCGTCATCGTCGTCGTCGTCGTCTTCCCTCCTCCCTCGTCGTTGTCGTCGTCGCCGTCGCCGTCCTCCCTCCTTCTTCGTCGTTCGCGTCGTCGCCTTCCTCCTTCCTCACTCGTCGTTGTCGTCGTTGCCGCCGTCGTCGTCTTCCCTCCTCCCTCGTCGTCGTCTTCGTCTTCAATGGCGACGTCGTCGTCGTCGGCGTCGTCGTCGTCGTCGTCGTCGGCGTCGTCGTCGTCGTTGTCATCGTCGTCGTCGTCGTCGTCGTCGGCGTCGGCGTCGTCGTCGTCGTTGTCGGCGTCGTCGAAGTCGTTGGAGACGTCGTCGGTGTCGTCGTAGTCGTTGTCGGCGGCGTCGTCGTCGTCGTTCTTGCTGTCGTCGTCGGTGTCGTTGCCACGTGCCATTTGGTACCCACCGTCACGGGTTTAATGGGGTTTTGCAAACCAAGTTGCGGGTGGGTGGGTTGGATGCTTGCGCGAGCAGTGGAGTGGACAACTCACTGCGAACAGAAAGTAACCGCACAACATAGATTGCGACGGATATAGCGCACAACCTGTATTGGACCACGTATACATTACCATAAAGACTGCACAACGTAGTTCGCACGCAAGACATTGCAGACCACGGTTTGTACCACATTGATTGCTTCGCGAAGCTTGCATCACATAGATCGCACCAAGTCGTGTACAATATGTACTGCACAACATGCATTGCACAACATAGCTTGAACCACGTCTACTGCACCATTTAAATTGCACAATCTAAATCGCACCTCGTAGATCGCAACACCCTGCTTGACAACATAGGTTGGATCACATAGGTAGCACAACGTAGATTGTACCACACATATTGTTCCACAGATCTTGCACACCAGATGTATATATACAGGTTAGAAATACACTGTTTGGAACCCACGCTGGCAAAAAATACGTATATACATATAATGTAAACATGCGTGCGCACACGTGTAAATAAATAACCATAGATATAAACCTATATATATATGCATACATGTATACATACATACATACATACATACATACATACATACAAACATACATACATACATACATACATACATACATGCATACATGTATACATACATACATACATACATACATACATACATACATACATACATACATACATACATACATACATACATGCATGCATGCATGCATGCATGCATGCATGCATCTAATTTCGCTGCAAATGATGTCGTTGGGCCATGCTGTGGCCATCTTGCGGTTTCTTGTGGCATGCCGGACTCTCTTGGCGACATCTTGTGTTTTCTAAAGACTTCTTCGGTTCTGCTTGGGTCGTCGTGGAACGCTCGTGCGAAATCTCGGCACTCCGGTAGCCATCACGATGTCGGCTTTGGCGATCTGGTAGCGCCATGTTGTGCCTCTGTGGGGGCCTCTCCAGACGTCCATCGTTATGTTATACATCTATCTGCTCGAGGATGGACATGGGGCCCCACAACCCACAGCCCCTAACCCCCAATCTAGGTCCACCCCCTCTGGGGGCCGTCCAGGCCCTCCTGGCCGCTCAAGACAGCCCCTAGAATCCCCCGAGGGTGCCAAAAAACCAGACGAGGACCCCAATAAGCGACAAGAGACCCATCCGAGAGAGAGAGCCAAGCATGGCTCGAACGCTGCCCGCACGGCTACCCGACCGTCAAACAGCGACAGCGGCAGCAAACTCGAATACAACAACAGTCTCCCCTGGACCACGGCAGCGCCGCACGCCAGCAGCCCCGGGCGGCACGCCGCCCCCTCGGGTGGCTCTCGGGCCGAAGCGCTTACGGTTGGGGCGCACGCGTGCGTGGACGTCAACCTCCCGCAATGCCGCCCCCGCTTGGCATCTGTCTGCTCTGCAGACCTGGCGAGCCACCCGAACCTCCGACGACTCTTTAGTTTTTCGAATCTCGGGGCCCCGGACCTCTCGACGGTTTCACTAGGACAAGGTTTTCGTCCCGAGCCCTTCTCGGACAGCCCCAGGGTCCGAAAGAGGCCTCCAGATGCCATGCAGAGACGCTACACGCCTGTCGGAAGAAATATGTAGAAATATGAAATAAGAAGGCGGATAAAATAGATTGGGCTCATGCCCTCCCAGAGAGTAACAGAGCACATCAAGACCATGCCGATGCTTGAAGTAGGAAGGCGCTGGCAGTATATTGGGATCTGGGGATCCAGAAATACCTACAGGGCAATTTTTAATACATATATTTAAAAGAAAAACATAAGATTTTTAATACATGATTAATGTATGAATAAACTTATGCATGAACTCATCGTTGTTTTTAGCACTAAATCCCTGTATGTTTTCATACATGATCCGCATGCGGAGCATGTATTAAAAACGGCACTGTACTTTCAAAGACCGACGGGTACATGTGTCCGAGTCTGTGGAGGCCTGAGTTCCACCCGCAGGCACGCCCGTGCCAGGAGGTGCCGGCAGACTCGGCCCCCAATCGCCCCACGGGGCCAACGGGCTCCTCCTCCTCCTCCTCCTCCTCTCTCCTCCTCTTCCTCCTCCTCCTCCTCCTCATCCTCCCTCCTCGTCCTCCTCCTACTCCTCCCCCACCTCCTCCTCCTCTTCTTTTTCTTATTTTTCTTTTTTCGTCTTCGTTTTCTTCTTCTGCTTTTTCTTCTTATTATTCCTCCTCCTCCTCCTCCTCCTCCTCCTCCTCCTCCTCCTCCTCGGCGAGCGAGCGAGCGAGCGCGCGCGGGCCTGCCTTCCGCCTGCCTGAAGCCGGAGCCGGGCACCACCACGAGCCCCGTCTGCTGGAGCGCCTGCGCAGACTGCCCGGCAGGCCAGGGCGGGGAGGAGGCAGGATGGGCAGAGGAGGGGCAGGGGATGTGGTCTGGACCTCCAACCGGGAGAGGAAAAAGGCACCCATCCCGCTGCCCCGCGGCCATGTTTCCCTTTTTGGGTCTCCTGGGCGGCCCTCGTCGCCACCGCTGGATTCGCCCCGAAATCCTGGCCAAAACGCACCCAAGGAGAGGCCTGGGGAGTAGCGGTATTGGTACCTTTGGAGTTCTCCATCGAGGACGTGCAGTGTCCCCGCCCCGCCTGTTTGGCCCCCTGGGGGACCGACGCAAAAAGCACGGAGGAGGCACGGCAACAGAGGAAACCACAATCAGTGGATTTCAAGTGAGTTTCGCGAGCACTCCACGCCTGACCTCACTCTCTCTCTCTCTCTCTCGCTCTCTCACTCTCTCTCTTTCTCTTTCTCTCTCTCTCTCTCTCTTTCTGAACTGGGTGGGGGAAGCGATGCGGTCAGGAGCTCTCGCCTGTACAGATCGATGAAGAGAAGACGGATGAGGAGAAAGCGACAGACCAGTGCAGAGCCAAGACTCATCTACGATGTTGCCATCAACCCTCCCTCCAAAAATTCATGCTTCATAGGCTCCTATAAAGATCCATCTTCACTGCGGGAAGAGCCCAGTTGGAAGAAAACAGTTTGAAAATCTTCAACCGTGCCAAAAGATCAGTCCTGAGATTTCAACGCCGCGAATCATCCTCACTGTTGCGACCTGACGATCCTAAAGTGGGCCAGAACACCATTTCTGAGACGTCAGCGTCACGAATCAACGAGACTGTCGCGCCCTGGCACTCCTGAGTCGTGCCAAAAAATCCTTTGTGGGACGCCAGCGATAAGAAGCCTTGCGTGCGCTGTAAACTGTCAAGACACATGTGCGCGGCACTCAAGCGATACCCACACTTTGAAAAAAACGCCCTCCATCAGTGAATCGTTTGCGAACTTTTTAAACGAATCTGCGCGGCGCTACGGCGAGAACCACATGTTGAAAACCACCCGCCCTCCATCAATGAAGCTCTTGCTAACTTTGAAACACAATGTGCGCGGCGGTAAAAACGATAACCACATGTTGAAAACTACGCGCCCTTCATCCGTGAAGCTCTTGGACTTTCCAAGAATCAAGATCATACATGGTGGGGATTTCTCAAGCAAAACGCCCGGCCCGCCTTATCGACCCGTCACTGGGTGCAACAGGGAGGAGTTATTTATAAGGGCGTGGGATGGAGGAATATATTACTCCTGTGGAAGATCAACAACAACATTCCTGATGTAGGAGTGCAACCAATGTCGCTTTGTGGGCGACGTTGTGGCGGTGGGAAACCAACAAAACCACAAGGGACAACCCACAACAAATGCGTGCAGGACCCCATATGCAGCTGCAAGTACCGCGAGGCAGGCGGCACGAAGGACGAGGGCCAACAAGAGGACTGCGGCGTGGACGAGGGGGGGGGTATGCTGACGTGGGCGCTGCGGGGGGTCTTCTTGGTTTGGCCAGAGGCCCGTGCACCGCCGTTCTGTCCGCAGCTCTTGCCGTCGCTCGGACGTCCATTTCCCGTGCATGTGTCGGTCTGGTGCGTGTCTCTTTCGCTCGATGATCCAGGGTGTTCCTCAAGGGCCCTCGCCGAGAAAAAAATACACACGTCCGAGCGACGCCAGGAGCTCCTTCCCAGCTCGTGTGCTCCCCTCCTTGTTCCTCCGCCGCGCGCTGCATCCCTGCCCGCCCGGCCGCGGGCGGGCCGAGCCCCAGCATGGGGCCACGCAACGCGTGTGAGGGGCGTGCCGAGGCGAGGCGGCGGGGCCATGCGGACAATGCGTTGGGGGATTCGTTGGAGCTCTCTTCTTGCCGTCGCTCGGACGTCCATTTCCCGTGCATGTTTCGGTCTCGTGCGTGTTTTTTTTGGGGGGGGCTCGATGGTCCAGGGTGGTCCTCGAGGGTCCTCGCCGCGAAAAAAATGCACACGTCCGAGCGACGCCAGGTCTTTGAGGCCACGAAACATGTGAGGGGTGTGCCGAAACGAGGCGGCCGGACCATGCAGACCCTGACATTTGGGCCTCAGCTGGAGCCCCATGTGGGGCCCCGAAACTTGTGAAGGGTGTGCCGGCATGAAGCGGCGGGGCCACGCGGACCCTCCCTCGGGGGTCTCAGATGGAACTCCCTATGGGGCCACAAAACGTGTCAGCTGTGTGCCGGAATGGGGCGGCGGTGCCATGCGAACCTTCCCACTGGGGCCTCAGGTGGAGCTACCTGTGGGGCCTCGACGCGTGTGAGGAATGTGCCGCAATTAAGGCGGCGGTGGTGGAGCTCCCTATGGGGCCACGAACCGTGTGAGGGGTGTGTCGAAATGGGGCGGCAGTGCCATGCAAACCTTCCCACTCGGGCCTGATGCGGAGCTCCCTTTGGGGCCACGAAGCGTGTGAGGGACGTGCCGGCATGGACATGCGGGTGGCAGAGGCAGGGACGGGAGGAGGGCGGGGGAAGAGAAGAGGGAACGCGGGGCGCTGTCTGTTCAAAACGAGGACCCAAGATCACATGATGGTTGGGGGAAATCAACAACACACAACACGGCACAATAACAACAGGTACAAACAACTACGCCTCACGAACAGCACTATTTCAACACTTACTCCTGCAGGTGGTGACGGGCGGGTGTTTGCGGATTTGTCGGAACGAAATGGACCTTGGAGTACCTGTGGGGGAACCCACACCTTGGACGACTTCACTCTTTCGAGTCTCGGGTCCCCCCGGACATCTCGAACCTCTCCCAAGTCGGGGAGACGTAAGCCTCGGGTACGGGGGACTCGGGTTGGGCCCGACGGGGCAATCATAAAAATGACGAGACCCAATCCGAAATTTGACGCGGGCTCCCGCTGCAGACATCCCACGAAAACTGGACCGTCAAAATCCAGGACGCGCTCGTCAAAAAACGTTGGCAAACCCGAATTCCGGCTTACTCGAGTCTTACGTTTCCCCGACCAAGGACCGGCCTGTCGCCGCGGGTAGGCTTTTGTGACAGTCCGAGGGTCCGCAACCGGCCTCTGGAGGCCGATGTGGAAAGACTGCAGCAGCTATCTATACTGCCTCAACAAGATACACTCGCCGTTCGGGGGGGAAACTCGAGAGTAGATTCTACTATCGACTTCCTGGAGGTCTGGGAGGCGAGGAGGGGAGGAGCGAAGCGGACCCTCCGAGGAGGGGAGGAGGGCCATCGCACGACTTCAGAGAATGCTCGGCTTCGGTTTGCGGCTCGAACGCGCAACGGGGCCGCGCCGGAACACCTCACCTGAGGTCGGGCATGTCTCCCCCTCTGCGGATTTTGGGCGAAAACTGCAAGAGTAGTCCAAACATGCCCCCAAATAGGCGCAACTACATGTGTATATATATATATATATATATATAAATAAATCGTCCCCATACTATTGTTTGACTGTGTTTGAACATTCCTCATGCAGAGGGACATGCCCGACTTACTCCTACTCCAGATTCAATCATAAAGCGGGGGGGGCGCATTTGGGGGGGGTCTGATCTGAGCTGTCTTTGCGGGTTCGGGGGGGTCTGGGCAGAGGGGCGCCCTTTCATGGATGGTACAGGGCAGTTTTTAATACATAGGATTTTCAAAAATAGAGGACTCTTAATACATGATTAATTTATGAATTTATTTATGCATGAACTCATCGTTGTTTTTAATACCAGATCCCTGCATGTTTTAAACATGATCCGCACGCGGAGCATGTACTAAAAACGGCACTGTATGGGGGTCCAAAACTTCTCGCCTGGGAGGGCTGTGGCCCCTTCCCTTTTATTTGCGAAATCTGGCGATAACCGACTGGATCGGGGGCCTCAACCTGCCCGGGGGTGCCTCCGCAGGTGCGGAGCGAGGAGGATGGTCGCGCGCTTCGCGCGGCGCGCGGCGCGGTGCGCGCATCGCGTTTCGCGCTCCCGCGCCGCCCCTCCAGGGAGGCAGAGAAGACGAGGAGAGTGGGGAGGAGGAACCGTTAGGTCGGGCACGTCCCTTCATACAGGAGGATTTTTAAGAAACACAAAACGTAATCCAAGCAAATGTTCAACCCAACACCAATTACAACAACAACAACAACAACAACAACAACAACAACAACAACAACACCAACACCAACACCACCAACAACAACAACAACAACAACAACAGCAGCAACAACAACAACAACAAACACATGTCAAACATCGTCCCCTGACATGTTTGGACTATTTTTGAACGTTCCTCCTGTCGAGGGAGGCCCGACTTAATTCCAGGGAAGCAGAGAAGACGAGGAAAATGGGGAGGAGGAGCCGAGGGCCGCCACAAACCACGAGCCGCACCCAACGCCGCGCCCTCCTCGCCGCAGCCGTTGCTTGGGTGAGGCCTTGGGGGGGCAATGCGGCACGCAGGAGATCTCAGGAAGACGATGACGATGACGATGACGATGACGCCATCGTCATCGTCATCGTCATCGCTTGGAGATCCCTGCAGCACGTCTGGTGCAAACCTTTTGAGAAGCACCCCGACCTCCTCGCGTCGTGGACGAAGGGGCACAACGGAACACATGCTCGGACATGCTTTTGGCATCGAAATGCGCTTGCCGGCGGCGAGCGAGGGGGGAAGTGAGAAGGAGGGTGGCGGGGCTTCTCAGAACCCCTCGCGCCTTCTGAGGAATGTTCTCTGCCTCCGGGGAAGGATCAGAAAACTTCTCAAAGGCCAGGGGACTTCCGACCCTTCTGAGAAGGCCTTCTCCTTCCCACTTCCCCCCCTCGCTCGCGGCCGAGTTCACCAGGCCCCAGGGCCGTCCACGGAAGGCTCGGTGTGGAAACCCCGTCCTACAAAGCACGAGCCCAGAACTCTCCGCTGGGGGACGGCGCTGCGACAGAAAACACGACGCTGGAGGTCAGGGAACGAGGGGGGAAGAGGTGAGGGAGGAAGCGAGGGGGAGTGACGAGTGAGGGAGGGGGTGCTGAGGAGGAGGTGAGGGCGGAGGAGGGGGTGGAGGGGGAGGTGAGAGAGGGGAGGTGAGGAGGTGAGGGAGGAGGGGGAGGGGGAGGGGGAGGTGAGGGAGGAGGTGGGGAGGAGGAGGTGAAGGAGGGGGAGGTGAGTGAGGGACGAGGGGGGAGGAGGTGAGGGAGGGGAGGAGGCAAGCTAGGTGCGCTCGCGTCATATCTGACGTCCTACCCCTCCCTCCCATCCCTTACCATGGCGCTGATTTTCTCTATCCGCGGACGCGTGTCGTAGCGGACCTGTGGCTCCGCGCGCGCGTGCGTAGTGGGTGGTGGTGCACGTGCGTGCGTGCGTGCGTGTGTGCGTGGTTGTCGTGGTGGTGGTGGTGGTGGTGGTGGTGGTGGTGGTGGTGGTGGTGGTGGTGGTGGTGGTGGTGGTGGTGGTGGGTGGGTGGTGGTGGTGGTGGTGGTGGTGGTGGTGGTGGTGGTGGGGTGGTGGTGGTGGTGGTGGTGGTGGTGGTGGTGGTGTGGTGGTGGTGGTGGTGGTGGGTGGTGGTGGTGGTACTGGTGCTGGTGCTGGTGGTGGTGGTGGTGGTGGTGGTGGTGGTGGTGCGGCGGTGCGGCGCGGTGGTGGCGGGCGGATGGGCGCGCGAGAAAAAGGCCCGCGCTGGGGCGAGAACGCCATCCTGAACGACGGAGGCCAAACACCGATCCGAAAATGAGGCCCACGCTGCAGCGGGAGCACGATTCGGAACGATTCGGGAGCAGAAATGAGGCCGGCGCCTCAACGAGAGCAGCATTTTGGGAAAAAATGACGCCGGCGCCTCAGCGAGAATCGTTTCCCGGGATTTCCCGGGCATCCTGTGTAAAAAACAGTACGCGGAGGGTGCGCGGCCATCACCCGGACGCCATCAGGGGAAGAGGGAGAGTATATTCATATTGAGTAATTGTTGAGGCAGGAAGCGAGGGGGTAGAGTGGAGGCCAGTCCACAAGAAACCTTCTAAAAGAAACCCAACCCTGAGACCCCAAAGCGTCCCCTGACTTTTGGTGTGGCAACGTCACGCTTTCCGTCACAAAACCATCGGAACCCAAACAAAACCCAAGGCACCCTGGAGGCAAGCAGGGCTGTTCTTGGCATGGGCCTCCACTGTGGAGTGAGGAGAGGCAGCTACGCGGGGGTTGGAGGGGGAGTGATAACAGAATGGCGATGAGGCACAACAGGCGGCAGGCGGAGGAGGAGGAGGATGTGGAGAAGGAGGAGGAGGATGAGGAGGAGGAGGAGCTGGAGGGGGAGGAGGCCCCAGACGGGGCTGAATACAGAGTAGCTGCAGGGGGACAAGCGCAGTATCACCTGTCCGCAGACCTCCGACGTCGTGCTGTTTCTGACAACGTGGACCCTCAGAGGTCGCGACCTCGTCCCCAGGGCCGGAATTTCATCCCGAATGGTTCTTATGGTCCAAGACCTAAGGTTTGGTAAGGGCCCCCGGAACCGAATATCGTCAAGAAGCTTCCATCTCGTGTTTGTTCACGACGCGGTGAGTTCTGGGCATCACCTGTCACTCCAAGCGCTCGCCACAGTCCGCCACGACGGATCCTGCCAGGTCTGTCGGCGAACAATCGCCAGCATGTACGAAATGGGTGCAAGAAAACATAAGACAATGCCCAACAGCAAACATTGTTGGGCAGGCGCGAGGGTCTGTTGTAGGTGGTTAGCGTCAACGTCTGCGGCAACACCGACAGCGGGTAGCTTTCAAGATGGGCAATGACTAATCGCTACCGTCGGTCTTAGTCACAATTCGTTATGTCCCCATCTCGATCCTCCCATTAGCTTTAGGTCGGGCATGTCCCCCTACAGGCGGATTTTGGACGAAAAATAAAAATACCCCAAACATGCACCCAAGATGCTCGAAAATGGTGAAGAAATAGTCCTATGACTATTTTTTGCCTACTTTTGAATATTCCCCGACTGAAACATTAGCTGCCAGAGGTTCGTGCACGGACCCGGTGCTGGCCGGCTTGCGGTGCACACCTCGGAGCGGTGGGCAGCCGCTCGGGGCGACGGGGGCACCCCGGGAAACGCGTTCCCGACGAGGCGCAGCTGATGGATACCGCCAGGAAGAGGAGGAGGAGGAGGAGGAGGCGGAGGAGGAGGACATACCGCCAGGAGGAGGAGGAGGAGGAGGACATCCGCCCCCTCAAGCCCCGAAGGCTCTCCAAAACGTCAGGGAACCTCTGAAGAAGAGCGGCCCTCGTCAACACTCGACGGAACCGGCACCGGCAACCGGCGCCGCGGCGGAGCGGCCTGCACGCAGTAGTACTCGTCTGGCGGCACGCCCTTCTCCTCCGCCTCGGCGATGGCCTTCCTCGGCAGTCTGACCTGGCGCACGGAGGGGGCGGACAGCGGACGCAGACGAGGGGCACACGTAGGATCACTCAGCATCGAATCGAGAAATCGGACCAGATCGGAGCGTGCGATGGATCGGGCCGCATCGGCTCGGCGTCGGGCTCGAATCGGACCAGCCGCGCCGGGATGCACAGCGGCACCACGCAAGCCTAGGGGCCACACCAGGTCGTCGGCACGTCGGGGCCACATCGGGTCGGGCTGGCCGGAGTCGACATCTAATCCGGACCGAGCGGGTCGGCATGTGCCCCTGGACACGGGCGCAAATGGAGAAGGCCAAGCGCCCATACCTGCAGTCGAAAGTGTGCCGTAAAAAGCCCTGTGGACATCGTGCCCGAAGCACGCTGGCGAACGGACGCGACGCTCGTCGCCCCATCCCAAGAGGTAGACCAAAGCCGCGCAATGGCAGGCAGAGGACTACGCCCTGAGTGTGCCTCGAGCCTCGGGCGCGACCTCTTGCCGCGGCGCAGCTGGGGAAACAAACAAGTACCGATACTGCGACCCCCCGGGACCTCTCCCAGGGTGCGCTCTGACCAGAATCTCGACGCGCATTCCGCGGTGGCGACGAGGGCCTCCCAGAGGCCCCAAAAAGAGAGAGAGAGAGAGAGAGAAAAAAAAAACGGCCGAAGGGCACCGGTATGGGCAATTACCTTTTCCTCCTCCTCCTCCTCCTCCTCCTCCTCCTCCTCCTCCTCCTCCTCCTCCGAACAACTTCGCCCATCGCGCCCCAGCGGCGCGCGACGCGCGGCTATCCTTCGCGCCATCGCGCCGCCGCCCCCGAAAGGGGTGCCGTCGCGGCCCAGGCCACGACGCGCGCAGCGCGGCTTTGTCGTCGCGGTCCCGCGGGTGGCCGCAGCAGCTCGGGTCCGGGACGCAGGCCCCGGCTGAGCCGAAGTCACCTTGGGGAGGAGGAGGAGGAGGAGGAGGAGGAGGAGGAGGAGGAGGAGGAGGAGGAGGAGGAGGAGGAGGAGGAGGAGGAGGAGGAGGAGGAGGAGGAGGAGGGGGGGGGGGAAGGAGGAGGAGGAGGAGGAGGAGGAGGAAAAGAAGGAGGAGGAAGAGGAGGAGGAGGAGGGGGAGGAGGAGGAGGAGGAGGAGGAGGAGGAGGAGGAGGAGAAGAAATCCATCTAACGACTCCCTGAAAAAATCCATCTATCGACTCCCGCACGTCGACCTCAAAGCCAAGATCCAGTACCTCACAGTACTGGCGCACAGCAAGTTGACCTACGACTGTAAAATAAGGGGGCCAATGACGGTACAACAAAAGCAGATGCTGCAGAGCCGACACATGGCGAGTCTACGAGCTGCGGCACGACAACAGCGACACGGCGCAGGACACCCGCACACCCTGGACGACGAAATCGACCTACTCTGCGATGAAGTTCGGGTCCACATGTCCCTGCGACGACGCCGTCTGCTGCACTTCATCAGGATGCTGCATGCGGATACGCCATTCCTCCACCGACTCATCGACGAGCTTTGGGCGGACAGCAAGGCATGGAACGCGCTCATCGCCGAGGACCTGGATTGGATCAAACGCTTCTTGCTGGACGACGAAGATCTTGGCAGCGACATCAGGGATTTTGTACGATGGGCACGAGCACAACACAAGCATTCCGCACAAGCCATGGTCACGCGCGCCTGGTTTGGTACAAGTCCTGGCAGCACGACGTATACCGACACCGGCTCTGGCAACGACAGCTACATCGGCTCGCACAAGACTTCGGACTCACCACGCCCAACTTCGACGGACGCCCACCTAAACAACACAGCGGCTACATCTGCTACGAGTGCGGCAAGGTCCTGAAGACACGACGAGCCTGGAAGCGACGCCGCACCATGGAGCACATCGGCTTCGACCTCCCTGAACGGCTCGCCCGTTCGACAACATGCCCAGGGTGCGGGAAGGACTTCATCACGCGCTCACGCATACTCAAGCACCTGAGAAGATGCCCCAGGTGCCTCGCAGTTCTTCAAGCGATTGAAGTCCCAATGGATCTACAGGAGGCAGCCGATCGACGAGATGAAGAACGCGAAGCGGTGGCGACGAGAAAAGCGATGGGCCACGGAGCCACCAAGGCGCTAGTGCCTGTGCATCAGATCATCCACATCAAGCTCGCCGACCACATCGACCGACACCAGCTCCAGCTCTCGCCAGCGCCGCCCGCAGCAGTGACTCTTCAATCGGAGACGCCGTCAACAAGGACCTTTGCACCGAGCAGACCCCTGGTGACCACGACCATGTTCTTGCTTCACCTCTTCTCAGGAAGACGCCGAGTTGAGGACTTCCAGCACCACTTCGAGATGCACACTCAGGAATGCAATTTGATAGTGTTATCAATCGATGTACAGATCGACCCAGACAAAGGCGACCTGACCAAGCCAGACGCGACTGCCTGTTGGTGAGCCGCGATAAGCCAAGGCAAAATCTTTGGCGTCGTAGCGGGCCCTCCGTGCGAGACGTGGTGCTCGTCACGTTGGCACGCCACTGAGGGCAACGCCCCACGCCCACTACGCACCCACGAGTTCCCCTGGGGCATACAAGCAGCCAACCAAACATAACTCCAGCAGCTAGCACTGGCCAGCGACCTTTACAGGACAGCCTTACTGCTCATCACCACGGGCTTGCAGTACAACGTTTCCGCGATACTTGAACATCCAGCCCCAGCTACCTGGTGTCTTCAAGCACCGAGTAGCTGGCATCGAGCGGAAACTCAATGGTTGTTGGAGCAGACGAACGTCCAGCTACACTACATCGACCAGTGCCAGTTTGGTCAGGCGGCGCAAAAGCCAACGCGTCTGCTGGCGGTACACCTCAGTGAACTCACGCAAGAGCTCGGGGCAGCACCTGGCGGTCAACTGTGCCGACATCGTGGACACGACCGCGCTTGCGGACGCGACGGGCAGGGCGGCTGGAGGACTGCCCCCCTCAAAGAATATCCTTCGAGGCTGTGCAGGGCATTGGCAGCAGCCTTCGCAGCCCACTGGGGACAGCTTGCAGACGACGAAGCACTGTGGGCCGAGACAGACGAGTACTACCACAGCTTTTACGCACCACTGGACTACTACATAGAGCCAGAACAACTGGGGCACGACTGCGACAGGGCCTGGGGCATCCACCGCCGCTAGCACCAACTCACCCCCCCGACCGACCATGTCTCACCCTGACATCCCGCCTCGCCCTGTGCCTTCTCGTCATGCCCCACCGCCCAGCACGAGTCGAGCACCACAAGTTCGAGCACCACAGATTCAAGCAGTACCACGTTGACCAGCACGACTGAGTCGAGTACCACAGGTTCGAGCACCACAGATTCAAGCAGTACCACGTTGACCAGTACGACTGAGTCGAGTACTACAGGTTCGGTCACCACATAGTCAAGCACTACCACGTTGACCAGCACGACTGTGTCGAGTACCACAGGTTCGAGCACCACAGTGCAGTAACGCGTTGACCAGCACGATTGAGCCGAGTACCGCATGTTCGAGCACCACAGAGTCAAGCAGTACCCCTTGACCAGCACGACTGAGTCGAGTGCCACGCGTTCGAGCACCACAGAGTCAAGCACTACCACTTTGACCAGCACGACCGAGTCGTGTACCACAGGTTCGAGCACCACAGAGTCAAGCACTACCACGTTGACCAGCACGATTGAGTCGTGTACCACAGGTTCGAGCACCACAGAGTCGAGCAGTACCACGTTGACCAGCACGACTGAGTCGAGCACCACAGTTCGAGCACCACAGAGTCAAGCAGTACCACGTTGACCAGCACGACTGGGTCGAGAACCACAGGTTCGAGCACCACAGAGTCAGGCACTACCACGTTGACCAGCACGACTGAGTCGAGTACCACAAGTTCGAGCACCACAGAGCTTGCAGTACCACTTTGACCAGCACGACTGAGTCGAGTACCCCAGGTTCGAGCACCACAGAGTCAAGCAGTACCACTTGACCAGCGCGACGGGGTCGAGTACCACAGGTTCGTGCACCACAGAGTCAAGCACTACCACGTTGACCAGAGCGACTGAGTCGAGTACCACAGGTTCGAGCACCACAGAGTCAAGCACTACCACGTGGACCAGCACGACTATGTCGAGTACCACAGGTTCGAGCACCACAGTGTCACGCAGTACCACGTTGACCAGCACGGCTGAGTTGATTACCACAGGTTCGAGCACCACACAGTCAAGCAGTACCACGTTGACCAGCACGACCGAGTCGAGCACCACAGGTTCGAGCACCACAGAGGCATGCAGTACCACGTTGACCAGCACGACTGAGTCGAGTACCACAGGTTCGAGCACCACAGATTCAAGCACTTCCACGTTGACCAGCACGACTGAGTCGAGTATCGCAGGTTCGAGCACCACAGAGTCAAGCAGTACCACTTAGACCAGCACGACTGAGTCGAGTACCACAGGTTCGAGCACCACAGATTCAAGCAGTCCCACGTTGACCAGCACGGCTGAGTCGAATACCACAAGTTCGAGCACCACAGAGTCAAGCACTACAACGTCGTCCAGCACGACTGAGTCAAGTACCACTGGTTCGAGCACCACACAGTCAAGCAGTACCACGTTGACCAGCACGACTGAGTCGAGAACCACAGGGTCGAGCACCACAGAGTCGAGCAGTGCCACGTTGACCAGCACGACTGAGTCGAGTACCACAGGTTCGAGCACCACAGTGTCAAGCAGTACCACTTTGACCAGCACGACTGAGTCGAGTACCACAGGTTCGAGCACCACAGAGTCAAGCAGTACCACTTTAACCAGCACGACTGAGTCGAGTACCACAGGTTCGAGCACCACAGAGTCAAGCACTACCACGTGGACCAGCACGACTATGTCGAGTACCACAGGTTCGAGCACCACAGTGTCACGCAGTACCACGTTGACCAGCACGACTGAGTCGAGAACCACAGGGTCGAGCACCACAGAGTCGAGCAGTGCCACGTTGACCAGCACGACTGAGTCGAGTACCACAGGTTCGATCACCACCGAGCCAAGCACTACCACGTTGACCAGCACGACTGAGTCGAGTACCACAGGCTCGAGGGCCACCGAGTCAAGCACTACCACGTCAACCAGCACGACTGGGTCGAGTACCACAGGTTTGGCACCACAGTGTCAAGCAGTACCACTTTGACCAGCTTGATTGAGTCGAGTACCACAGGTTCGTGCACCACAGAGTCAAGCCGTACCACGTTGACCAGCACGACTGAGTCGAGTACCACAGGTTCGAGCACCGCAGAGTCAAGCAGTACCACTTTGACCAGCACGACTGAGTCGAGTACCACAGGTTCGAGCACCACAGAGTCAAGCAGTACCACAGGTTCGAGCACCACAGAGTCAAGCAGAGTGAAGCAGGGGGCAGCCGGCCCCGCGACGTGGGATACACAGCGCATGGCGCCGAAGGGTGTATCCCCGTCGCCCTCGCGTAACATGCGAGGTGCCGCGGCCAGCCGGCCAGAGGCGGCAAGAGCTGGCCAGAGCGACCAGCCAGTGCAGGACGAGCTGGAGCCCATGAGCGGCTCGGCGAGCCTCCACAGCGCTCGGCGCCGAAGGGTGGAGGTCGCCAAGGCGGGGGGCAGCCTGCCCCTAGGAGCCGGCGGCCTGCCACTCCACGCCAGGCGCAGCGGCAGCGCAGGCTGAGGGCCCACGAAGCGGCCGACGGCCTGCTGACGGCGGGCGGCCCGCCGCGCGGGCGGCCGCGCGCCGCGCCTTTTGGGCCCCTAGGGGCCCCACCTTGAAACCCGGCCCCGTCTCGTCCCCTCTGTTACGATTGAGGTCCTCGTTCCCCTCTTCTTTCCTCGGGGTCGGGGGCCCTGGGCCGTCGTTCGAGCGCGGGCACGACCTCCGGGGGTCGCTGCTTGCGATCCGCGCCTTGGGCTGGCTGCACAGACGCTGGCTCAGCGAGAAACGGCAGAAACGGCAAAGGGGGAGGGAAGGAGGAGGAGGAGGAGGAGGAGGAGGAGGAGGAGGAGGAGGAGGAGGAGGAGGAGGAGGAGGAGGAGGAGGAGAGGAGGAGGGGGAGGGGAGGAGGAGGAGGTAGGAGGAGGAGGGGGGGGGAAGGAGGAGGAAGGAGGAGGAGGAGGAGAGGAGGAGGAGGAGGGGGAGGAGGAGGAAGGAGGTGGAGGAGGAGGAGGAGGAGGAGGAGGAGGAGGAGAGGAGGAGGAGGAGGAGGAGGGGGGGGGAAGGAGGAGGAGGAGGAAAAGGAGGAGGAGGAAAAGGAGGAGGAGGAGGAGGCGGAGGAGGAGGGCCTGGGCGCACGAAAAGCGCCAGAGGAACGTGAGCGGAAGGACTCCAGGAATGGTGGCCCCCTGCGACCCCAAGCTGAGAAGTTTGGCTGCACGACGCCTGGGCAAACTCAAACGGGCTGTGCTCGTCGCTTGCGGCCTCAGTGGGGGCCGTTGCTTGCACCCCGGGGCCATCAATATGCGACTCAGGATGAAAAGCTGGTCCTCCTGAGGGGGTCGAAACAAAGGTCTGGGGGCCGCGCGTGTACGAAACATACGGTAGGAGCTCGACCACAAGAAACCTCCCACAAGAAACCCAGCCGTGAGACCCCAGGACGTACATTCATTCTTGAAGTGGGAACGTCACGATTTCCATCGCAAAAGCACCGACTCCCAACGAATCCAGGGCGCCCTGGAGGCAAGCAGGGCGTTTCTTGGCATGGGCTTCCACTGTAAAAGGTCTGGGGGCCGCGCGTGCACACAGCTTCTAATGCGAGGTCTGATGACTGGGTTTGAGGAGGGACATCGGCCCAGCATCGATGATACATGTCGCAACGGCCCCCCGTGGCGACACAACACGATCCTGGGCGGGCTGGGGCACCCAAGGCCCGATCGGAGATGAATGGGCGCATTGGGGGCGATGATCCCCCCTCTGGGCCTTCCTCCCCCTCCTCCTCCTCCTCCTCCTCCTCGTCGTCCTCCTCCTCGTCCTCCTCCTCGTCTTCCTCGTCGTCCTCCTCCTCCTCCTCCTGCTGCTGCTCCGCAGGGTCCCTGGACGCCTGCAAATCCAGACCTTCGCCGACTCGACATTTTCAAATCTCGGGGCCCGTGACCTCTCAACCCTCTCCCGGCTTCTCGTCCCCAGCTGTTTTTTGTTTGACAATCCCACTACTGGCCCGATACCAACCTCCAAATGCCAAGAATGCACAAAACAGACTCGACATTTTCTGGAGGTCTGTGGGCGGCGCGCCGAGGGGAGGAGCGAGACGGGGCAGGCAGGCCCTGTCAGAAGGCAACGCGGCTTCTCAGCCTGGGAAGCCCTCTGCGTCTTCGGAGAGGCCTTCAAAGGCTTCTCAGAAGGAAGGCCAGAGGCCTTCTGAGTCTTCCGAGAAGGCCTGTCCTCGCTGCCTTCCCCCCCCCCCGAGCGCGCCGACGAACCTGGGGACGCATCTGGTGGTCCGAAGAGGGGTACTTTTTGTTGGTCGGCGGCTCCAAGGCAAAGGTCAGGGAGCGGAAGCAGCGTCCGGGATGCGGCACGGAGCGAATTTGCGAACACAGCCGCCACTGTCGGCAAGCCAGTTCGCACCTGCAAGACACGCTCGCAGCTGCACATGCAAAATCCGAAGAAGAGGAGTACGCGCAGCCACCAGAAACCTCGGCCCCGCCCGACTCTCCGGGCGAGCGCACGGTCACGTCCACCCGCGTCGACACAGGCAGGCCCGGCCAGCGAAAGAGGAGGTCGAGCCGCGCCTCGGCTCGGCCTCCCAATACAGATCCGGCACGCAGCGCCCCACGTCGGCGCACCAGGCTGCGCCAAGGCCCGCACGCTCTCGCTGTGCAGCCGGATGCGGTGCGGCCCCACTGGGCAGTGGAGCGCGTGAAGAGACGCGACAGCCAAAGTCGCACTCGCCCTGTCGCACTCGCCAAAGTCGCACTCGCAAAGAGCCTGCCGCACTCGCCCTGTCGCTCGTCGCCGCCGCCGGCGGCGCAAGGCGCCCGTGGCTGGGGCATTCAGCAGGTCCAGCACGAGGCAGCGCCAGAACATGCCACCACGAAGGAAGCGCCGTGGAGGGCCACCTCGCCCTCCCGCATGGAGCCGTTCCAGAGGCGCCGAGCCCGCCGCCTGACAGCAGCCGCGCCTGGCGCGCGGCGGGCAGGCGGCGCCCAGAGGCGGGTGGCCGCGAGAGCAGCGAGGCCGCGGTGCGCCCGAGCGGCGAGGCGTCGCCGGCCCGCCCACGCGCCGGCTCCCGGGCTGTCGTCGGCCTCCGCGTGGTGGTCGGAGCCCGCTTCTGTTGGGAGCTCGGCCGCCCAGGGCCTGCCCTCATACCCAGCCTCGAACTTATCCCTATCCCTAAGATGGGCGAGCAGAAAGCGAGGACAATCTTTCGGGATAGGCCCTCAGAAACCGAGGGAATCTTTGAGATCGGCATCGCGGTGAGGTGCTGTCAAGCATAGGGATAGGGATATGTTTCAAACTGGTAACCCTCATACCCAGACATCCGCCGCTATGATTCTTTCAGTCCGAGGCCCCAGCGGTCCCCTTCCCTGGGGGTCGTTTTTCACCCCGGATCCATGCTTGATGGTGCCCGGGCCCGATGGCGGGCCCTGGGAGCCGAAATCGAAGGAATGTTCGCCCGGGTTGAACAAAAATCAGATCCTCGGATCTCTGGGCGCCCGCGGCGGGCCTCTGCCGCGAACTCGATACACCCCGGGCGCAACTGGATGCCTGCGGTGGCCACCTCGTCGCGAGCCCTTGGCGTCCAGGGGCGCGTCCGGGTGGGGATGGGCGGCAGGGCGGCGGAGGCGGGCGGCGACGGCAATCGCGCCGGCCTGCCACGGACGCGGCACGTCCAGCACGCCACCCGGGCGTGCTGCAGATCATCCAGCCGACGAAGATGAAATTGAAGATGAAGATGAAGATGAAGATGATGATGAAGATGAAGATAAAGATGAAGATGAAGATGAAGATGAAGATGAAGATGAAGATGAAGATGATGATGATGATGATGATGATGATGATGATGATGATGAATATGAAGATGAAGATGACGATGAAGATGATGATGATGATGCTGATGGTGATGATGATGATGCTAGTGATGCTGATGATGATGGTGGTCGTGGTGGTGACGAAGAGGAGGAGCATGCTGATGAGGATGAGGATGAACAAGAGGATGAAAATGATGATGGCGATGACGATGATGATGCTGATGATATTGATGATGACGACGACGATGATGATGATGATGATGATGATGATGATGATGATGACGATGATGCTGTGATGATGGCGTTGGTGATGATGGTGATAATGATGGTGGAGATGGTGATAATGATGGTGGTGATTATGATGGTGATGCTGATAAGCTTGAGGATGTTGATGAGGATGGGGATGAACATGATGATGATGGTGATGACGGTTCTGGTGGTGGTGATGATGGCAATGGTGACGATGATGCTGACAATGATGCTGGTGTTGGGAATGATGATGATGATGGTAATGATGATGCTGATGATGATGATGTGCATGATGGTGACGCAGATGATGATGCTGATGATGATGGAACGTGGTGATGATGATTGTGGTGATGGTGGTGATGATGGTGATGATGATGACAGTGATGGTGATGATGATGGTGGTCATGATTGTAATAAGTATGATGGTGATGCTGAAGATCGTGCTGGTGATGCTGGTGGTGATGAAGCTGGAGGTGATGATGATGCTGATGTTGGTGATGCTGATGATGCTGATCATGAAGACGGTGGTGATGTGATGGTCATGACAATGATGCTGATCATGCTGCCGATGGTGATAAGAATGATCATGATGATCATCATGATGATGCTGATGATGCTAGTAACGATTGTGATGATGATGAGGAGGCGTACGATGATATTGATGGTTATGAGGTTCTTGATGATGACGATGCTAGAAATAATGACGAAGATGATGATGATGCTGATGATGATGATGATCTATTACGGTGACGATGCTGATGATGCAGGTTATGATAATGCTCATGCGGATAATGATGGTGATGGTGGTGATGATCATGATGACGACGATGCTGATGATGCTGATGATGCTGATGATGCTGATGATAATGACGACGATGATGCTGATTCTGACCACGCTGACGGTGATGATGACGGTGGTGATGGTCGTGATTGTGATGATGCGATTGGGTGGCGTCCCAAACATGATCACCATCATCTATCGCATGCCTCCTTTCCTCCGCCTCCTCATGATGAGGAGGGGAATGAAAAAATGAATCATCATCGTCTGCCTCCACATGCTCTTCCCCCCTTCCGTTCCCCTCGTCTCGTCGTCGTCCTCCTCCTCGTCCTCGTCCCCGCTCCTCTCCTGATCCTCCCTCTGATCCTCTGCTCCCTCCTCCTTCCCCCTCCCCCCCTTGTCACATAAAACGTTGGAGGTCCGCGCGGATTTC